TGATTCATCCCCCCTGCCTCCTAACCTATTAAGAATTTATCTACAGATAAAATTAAGAAGAAAATGAAAGTAAGCCTAAGAATCATGACTCCCAGGCACCAGGATCATTCATAATCCCCACCGTTCTTTGATGCCATTGGCCGCAGTAATCTCCACTAGCTCAGGGTAAGATAAGATATATTGTGGGTCATGAGCAATGTCAGTAGTTCTCTACATCAGCCCTGTTTCTGTTTCTCCAGAAAGAGCATTATAATTCAAAGGACTGAGAGTACTTGATTGTATTTGAACACACTCTGGGTTTTCACAATTAATTTCAAATTAGAATATATTTCCACCAAAGGAATACAGTGAATGATAAGACAAAGAACAGTATACTCTCCACCTAGTTTAAGAAATACATTAGGAAAAAAAAAAAAGAAATACAACATTAGAGATACAATTAAACTCGAAGACAATTAGGTCTCTCTGATTTAAAAATAAGCCAAAATAAGCCCCCCCCCAAAGCCCCACCTTTATTGCCTTATGGCATACCTATGGTAATTTATTTTTAACAAATAATTTTCCAAATTCAGTTCTTGAGCCGTCCCTTCTGATTAATGTCCTGGGACAACTGTGCCACTGATGACAATGTAGCTAGGTGGTATAATCATATGACTGCTGGAAATGGTATTTCTTGAGCCATCAAATTCATGAATCAACAGTGTCTTTTGACTTTTCTCATTGTAAGTTGTTATTTCAATGCTATTTGGTTGAGTATATTAATGCCAACAATTCAACATTCAAAATTAGAAGCCTATAAATGAAAAGTAAGTTTTTTGTGCCCTGCCTCCAACTCCTGACTTCCTCTCCAGGAGGAAGCAGCTATGACTATGGTTTCTTGGGTATCCTTCCGGAGATATTCGAAGTGATCAGTGTATACATATGTATCGGTCAGATTGCATCCAATAGAAAGTCCTCTATCCTGGCTTAGCCAGGTAGGAGTTTCCATTTCTCCTCAGCGAGAAGTCTGGAGGTGGGCAGGCGTGGTAGGGTGGTCGAGAGAGAGAGAGAGAGAGAGAGAGAGAGAGAGTCAGCGTTGTCATGGTAGCGTCTCTGTCTGGCCACGCCCCTCTTTCCTCTCCTCTACGTTTTATGTATGCACTTCGCTTTCTCGTTGTCTCATGAGTTGGCTGCTGCACTCTCATATCAGCACTTCAGAAACGAAGAAGTAGGAGGAATGAGGGAAAAGTATGCCTATATTAAAGCAAAGCGTTCTCAGTGGTCTCCCAGCTGTCTTCCATTTATATCTCATTGGCCACATGGCATCACATGGCCACGTGGAGAGAGTCTGGGAAGCGGAATATCTAATCTGGGCCCACTGTCGCTCTCAACAAAATGTCTCTTGGTAAAGAAGGACAGCAATAATTGCATACTATATCTGCCAATCCTACTTGGCTTTTTTCACTTAACTATGTGACTCCACATGCTTTTTCTTCTCAGAATAGACTTGCAATGTCAGATTCATTTTGTGTCTTTTTATTCACTTAACAAATAGGAATGTATTGCTCACTTAGGTGGCAGAAGGAGACCAATTGCTTTCTGATATCTGTTTTTTAAGTGGACAGAAGGTGGGGCGCTCGAGTGTCTCCGTTGGTTAAGCTTCCAACTGGATCTTAGTTCAGGTCTTGATCTCAGGGTCGTGAGTTCAAGCCCTGTGTTGGACTCCATGCTGGGTGTGGGGCCTACTTAAAAATAAATAAATGAATAAATAAAAATAAGTAAATAGACCCAAGGCCACCCCGAATAAGACAAAATTTTTCGGCATCCTTTGGCAAGGTGTGGCCCTATGACTAAATTTTGGCCTATGTGAAGTGAGCCAGGGTGACAGGTACAACTGTCGGGTCCTGCCTTTGAAGAGAATATGGTGCCTGAGCCGTACTCTTCATGTAAGTGGAATGCTGCATGTAACAGCCACATCCTAACCACTGCCTCCATGAATGTGCCACACACGGTGACAGGGGTGCAGGAAGCAAAAAAGGAGAGAATTATCTTCATGCCTTCAAGGAGCTCCAAGTCTCCTCATGGGGAAGACCAGTGGGTAGACAAATGGCTCTGGAGTTGTCTTGTGAGTGCTTATGGTGGGCTGAGGACCTCTGGAACCCAGCACATGCCATCGCCTCCCATCCCCTCCCGGGTGCTTCCAAGCAGCTCTCCAGCCGTTCACACTTGTCCATAAATGGATTTGTCTGTCATCCACCACTTATTCTTCCACTAGCCGTCCCTCTCTCCCGCACGGCTCATGAGCACCCTGGAGACACTGTGTGCAGAGAGTTACACAGAACCCGTTCTGACGTCTTTTCCTCAGAATCAAGCCAATCAAAATGCACTTTTTACCACAATTTTAACAGAAGCCAAGATCATCACACACATGCCATATAATGAAATTTCGGATTCAAATCACAGAATACATGCTTCTTTGTGCATATTTTTAGACTTTCCTCGATAAGAAAAACGATACATTCACTAGTTTTTCTCAAGCAGTCCTTCCCACTTCTCCTGAGTCGGATGTGACGTCAGTCCACAGCACAGCCAAGCTGGGGGAAATGCAGGCAGAGAGGGACGGTGTTTGCAGTAGTCATTCGTGATACAATAAAAGTAAGGGTCATGCACAGTTGTATATTCCCCTAATTCTCGAGGACTACGGGAGGTCAGGTGATGACCAAGGAAGCCCAGCAGATTTCATTCCCCTCCCAGGAACGACACTCAAACTCTTCCTCTCTTTCTCAGACCACTTAAACAAATTTTTTTTTTTGAGAGAGAGAGAAAGAGAGGCTGCAAGAGAGAGCTGGGGGAGGGAGACAGAGAATCTTAAACAGGCTCCATGTTGAACGAGGAGCCTCACGCAGGGCTGGATCTCTTGACACAGAGACATGTGTCCAGTCATGACACAGAGATCATGACTGGAGCTGAGTTCAAGAGTCCGACACAACCGACTGAGCCACCCAGGCGCCCCTTAAACAAATTTTTTGAAAATTCCTCCTAATAAAGAGAAAAACCAAGGATGCAGATCACAGCAAGAACACAGTCAAGGAATGGAATTTGCGGTTTCATTTAATGAGAAAACATAGTTGTTGTTAATAAATAAAAGAGCTCAAAACATAATAAAATAGCTCACCTATTGACCCTCATTAACAAATACTAAATCTTGCTTATCAAAAAATGCTGTGAATGATTTGGTTTAAAACATTAAATAGGAAACTTCAAACAAATTGCTCTTATGCAGTTTGGTCACAAAACAGACCAGTCCTCCTGTGGCTTCTGGGTGGCACTTGTTCCAGCCACTGGGCAGCTGGGCTCCTGAACTGGCAAACCCAGGAGAGACCAACAGCTCTCTAGCTGGTGTTAGGGGAGCTTCTGAGACTCATTACACTCTGCACAGCGCGGTGGCTTACCAGGCAAAGTTGCCTCTCCCAACATTTGTAGAAGAAAGCACTGTCCTTCCAAGCTAACCTCTATGTTCAGAGTCTGGAGGAGTCGGTCTCCCTATACAATACTTGGAAAGTAGCAAAGAGCTAAGCTCTTGTGGAGCTCTGGTTTCAGGATGAATGAGTTCCATCTCCTTAAACCACAGTGACCTTCCAGGGCCTCAATTCTTTCATCCCTAAAATGAGATTAATAATAATGACACTTACCTCATTGGGTGTTGTGAGAATTACAGCCCTCGGTTGGTGATAATTATCATCACTTAGAAGTAATTATTATTAGTAATGTTTCCTCCAGATTGTGCCATGGATTGCAGTATGTCCAAACAAACAGATTTTAAGGGCCTCCTGAGACTAGCAGTAGGGAGGCAACGTCTGTGGAGGTTAAAAGTGAAGGCTTTCTGCCGGACTGCCTGCATTTGCATCCAGGATGGCCACTGAGAAGCTGTGTGCCCTTGGGCAAGTTACTTAACCTCCCTGAGCTGCTCTCTCTCTCTCTCTCTCTCTCTTTTTTTTTTTTTTAAGATTTGAGAGAGAGCATGAGCAGGGGGGAGAGGCCGAGGGAAAAGCAGACTCCCCACTGAGCAGGGACTGGGAGGCAAGGCTGGATCCCTGAGCTGAAGACAGATGCTTGATGAACTGAGCCACCCAGGCAACCCCTCTTTCCTCATTTTTAAAGTGGAAATAATAAGGGACACCTAGGTGGCTCAGGTGGTTAAGTGTCTGCCTTGGGCTAAGGTCATGATCCAGGGTCCTGGGATACATCAGCCCTCTTGCCCTGCTTCCCTGCTTGTGTGGTGTTGTGACCGCTCTCTCTGACAAATAAATAACTAAAATCTTAAAAAGAAGAAGAAGAAGAAGAAGGAGAAGAAAGAAGAAAGAAGAAAGAAGAAAGAAGAAGAGAAACTAATAATGGTGCACATTTTACTATCTGGAAGGAGGCTGGGCAAGAGCATCTGAGCTGTCCAAAGGGCTTGTACATGTTCCCATGTACCTCCTACTCTACTAATAAGATAATTAGATTATTCTATTAACAGTACCTATCTCAAAGGGTAGTTACGAGGCATGAACACTTGCAGAGCACTTTACAATAGTGCCAGGCAATAACTATGCCATTATTATTATTATTATTATTACTAATCATCTCCATTTTGTAGATGAGGAAAGTGAGGCCCAGAGAGATTGAGACACGACCCCAGAAGCATGAGGCTCGGGTGGCAGGGCTGGCGCCGGAATCCAGAGGTTCCGTTGGTGCCCCGCAGCTGCCCAGCCTGGGAACTCAACAGCTCCTCTCCCTCCACTCGCCACCCCACCCCCGGGGAAGGCACCCTGGGAACGGAAAGCTGGCTGTCCTCCAAGTCCCAGGGGCCCTGGAGTCCTGCCCCCGCTGCACCCTCCCCCAGCCCCAGAACAAAGTACACTGCACCGCGGGAACATTCCAGCCCACTGAAAGCCGGGCGGCCAGCCGGCCGGCCGCGCCCCCCGAGCTGTGCAGCGCGTCTTGGGCCCCGGGCCGAGCCCTACGGAGCCCCTCCCTACCGTCCGGGCCTCTGCCCCCGGAGCGCGTGCAGACGCGATTGCACCGGAGGAATTCGCTCTTCCTTTTCCTAACCTCCCCGACCCGACTCGGAAAAGGCCGAGGGACGCGGTGGGCGGAGCAGATGCAAAGGATGGCGTGGGCCGTAGTCGGCGGCGAGCGAAGCTGCATTCTCCGCGGTGGCGCCGGGGCTTGGCAGCGCCGGCTCCGGGCGCGCTGGGCTCTGGCCCGGAGGCCCCCACAGCCTCATTTTCCTCCTTTATAAGAAATTAATGCATGCTTTTGTTAAGAAAATAGGACAAGTAGAACAAGGAAAAAGATTTTCACGCATCCTACTACTCTGAGACAACTGCTATTAATTTTGATTCTGTCCTTGCAGACGTCCCTATGCACAAAACACGCAGATATATATTAACATGAAAGGGATCGTGCAATTGTACTGTTGTTTTTAAATTAATAGACTTTAGTTTTTAGAGCAGTTTTAGGTTTACAGAAAATTGAGATAGTGCAGAGTTCCCATGTACCTCCCGTCCCCATGTACCTCCTGTCCCCACCGTCACAGTTTTCCCTATTATTAACGACTAGCGTTAGGGTGGCGCATTCGTCACAACTGATGGACCAATACTGATACACTATTATTAATAAAGCCCATAGCTTGATTAAGCTTTCCTCTTTGTGCTGTAAAGTTCAAAGCTTTGATAAATACATAATGTCATGGGGCACCAGGGTGGCTCAGTGGCTTAAACCCTTGGCTCTTGATTTCAGCTCAGGTCATGATCTTGGGGTCCTGGGATGGAGGCCCGCAGCTAGGCTCTGTTTTCAGTGGCGAGTCTGTTGGAGATTCTCTTGCTCTGCCCCTCCCCTGGCTCACAGGGGCTTGTGTGCGAGCTCTCTCTCTCTCTCTCTCAAGTAAATAAATCTTTTTTTAAAATTTTTTATTTTTTTAAAGATTTTATTTATTTGACAGACAGAGATCACAAGTAGGCAGAAAGGAAGAGAGAGAAGGGTGGGGGGGAAGCAGGCTCCCGGCTGAGCAGAGAGCCCAATGTGGGGCTGAGATCATGACCTGAGCCGAAGGCAGAGGCTTTAACCCACTGAGCCACCCAGGCGCCCCAAATAAGTAAATCTTTAAAATAATGCATAATGTCATGTGTCCCCCATTACAGCGTCATGAAGAATAGTTTCACTGCCCCCCAAATCCCCTGGGCTCAACCCATTCATCCCTCCCCTGGGACCTCGTGCAACCACGAATGTTTTTACTGTCCCTCTAGTTTTGCCTTTTCCAGAATGTCATATAGTTAGTCATACAGTAAGTAGCCCTTCCTTAAGTCAGACTGGCTTCTTTCACTAAACAGTATGCTTTTAAGGTTCCTCTGTGTCTTTTTGTGGACTAATAGCTCATTTCTTTTTAATGCTGAATAATATTCCATTGTATGAATGTACCACAGTTTGTTTATCCATTCACCTTTGGAAGGACATCCTGGTTGCTCCCAGGTTTGGCAGCTGTGAATAAGGCTGCTATAAACGTTCATGTGGAGATTTAGTACACTGTTTTCCAGCTTGCTTTTTTCAGTCACATTATGAATGGCTTTTAGTATTGTAAGCATAGATCGATATCTCTTTTTAAAATTTTATTTGACAAAGATCAGTAGGCAGAGAGGCAGCAGAGAGAGGGGGGGAAGCAGGCTCCCCGCCAAGGAGAGAGCCCGATGCGGGGCTCAATCCCAGGACCCTGAGACCATGACGTGAGCCGAAGGCAGAGGCTTTAACCCACTGAGCCACCCAGGTGCCCCAATCGATATCATTTTAATGGTGACATAAGATTCTATCCCAGTTTATTTCAGCAGCCCCTGCTGTTAAACAGCTTGTTGTAAAAAAACAACAACAACAACAACAACAAACAAACAAAAAACAGCTTGTTGTCTCTGATTCTGACCCCATAAATCTGCCCCAACTAGTTGGTCTGCACTTGATAGTATCTTGTAGATAAGGCCTGGCTGCCTAAGTCTTGTGTTCGAATCCCAGACGCCTCCCTTACTTACTGGGTGACCTTGGGGCAAAATAATTCATTCCCTATAATTTGGCTCCTTATCTGCGAAATGGAAATAATACTTGGGCTTATTGTGAAGATGAAATGAGCTGATACATGTGAAGTGTTTAGGACAGTTTAGAACCTGGCACACATAAACCTGTAGTAAAATGTAGCTCTTATAACAGACAAGCAGCACAGAACTTGAAAAGCTAAGGTGTCCTATAGTCTTTGATGGATGCTGGTTAAGTCACAAAGAATGTTGAGGTGCTAATGATGAAGGGAGAGGCTGAGAGCCAGGCTCTAAAATCTTCAGTGAGGGGCACCTGGGTGGCTCAGTCGGTTAAGCCCCAACTCTTGATTTCGGCTCAGATCGTGATCTCAAGGTTTTGAGATCCGACACTGTGTGGGGCTCCACGCTCAATGGGGAGTCTGCTTGAGATTCTCTCCCTCTCCTACTGCTTCTCCTCCTCCTCTCTCTCTCTCTCAAATAAATAAATCAATCTTAAAAAATAAAATCCTCAATGAGTGAGGGACAGTAGCCAGCGGGCTGGTAGAAGGCTTCAACAAGAGTAGAGGCTGGTATGGTTTAAGGATGCAAACTTCTTAAAAACAGTGGTTTTGTAGAGAAAAAGAAAGATAATTAGTCTATAAAAGTCAGAGAAGAGCAAGGAGGACCCCTAGCCCACCCCTGGTCTTGTGATTTATGGGGGATAGGAGAAAACCCAGCTGCTGCATGAGAGGGCTCTAAGAAGAGTAATGTTCTCAGGCAGAACCAGATTTCAGTGAAAGCGAGAAGGAAAATGAATGTTTGGAGACAAGATTTATTATTTACTTAGGACATAGTGCTGAGGGCAGACCTGAGGTTCAGGTCGCAGTGGAAGACTGGGGAAGTTAGGAAGAGCAGGAGGTTGAATTAAATTAAGGGGTGTACCTAAGAGTCTACGTGATGGTGGATGGCCATCAATGGAGGTTGACTTTTATTACTTTTTAGAAATTTTAATTTTGAATTTACTTTTTAATTTGAAAAATCTATCATGATTGTATGATTCATCTCCTTTATTCTGTTCATATCGTAAGTTTAAATGATTATTTTAAATTTATGCCAACCCTTCTTTGACTAACACAAACTTTTCAGGTGCATTATTTTTTTTTAATGTATTGTTGAATTCACTTTGCTGTTATTTTGTTTAGGATTTGATTTGCATCTGTGTTCATTAGCAAGATTGCCTTACACATTTCCTTTCTTCTAATATCCTTGGTGGGCTTTTTTTTTTTTTTTTTTCCCCTAAGACTTATTTGTCAGAAAGAGAAAGAGAGCACAAGCAGGGGTAGTAGTAGGCAGAGGGAGAAGCAGGTTCCCTGCTGAGCAAGGAGCCCTATGCAGGACTCAATCCCAGGACCCTGGGTCATGACCTGATCCCCAGACAGAGGCTTAACTGACTGAGCCACCCAGGCATCTCCATTCATGATAGGTTTTAGTAACAAGGTTATCCTGTCCTGGCCTCATAATTTGAGTTTGGGTATGTTTCCTCTCTTCTATTTTCTGAACAAGTATGTGTAATCACGATATTTTTCTTTCTTAAATATTTATTAGAATTTGCCAGTGAAGCCATCTGGGACTAGGGTTTTCTTTGTTGGAAGATTAAAATTATGAGTTCCATTCATTTAATAGACATAGTACCATTTAGATTTTCTATTCCTTCTTTTGTCGGTTTTTGTAAGGTGTAGGTTTTTTTTCTTAAAGATTTTATTTATTCATTTGACAGACAGAGATCACAAGTAGGCACAGAGGCAGGCAGAGAGAGAGAAGGAAGCAGGCTCCCCGCCGAGCAGATAGCCCGCCGATGCAGGGCTTGAGCCCAGGACCCTGGAATCAGGGCTTGAGCCAAAGGCAGAGGCTTTAACCCACTGAGCCATCCAGGCGCCCCTGTAAGTTATAGTTTTGTAGCATCTATCTCAAACTCAGATTTTCAATGTATTTGAGGACATTGGTTCTTCATCATCTTATTATCTTTATAATGTTTGTAGGATCTGTAACTCCGTCCTTTTCTGATTCCTAATATTGGTAATTAATGCCTTCTTTCTTTTATCAGTTTTCCTAGGGGCTTTTACATTTTATTAATGTAAACTCAGAACTGTCCTTTGACTTTGATCATCCCATGTATTTTATTTTTTGTTGTTGTTGCCTGACTGTCTGCTCTTAACTTTATGGATTCCTTTATACTTTTAAACATTTAATTCGTTGAAACACAGAGTCACCACATGACCCAGCATACACTTCAAAATATATTCAAGAGAAATGGAAACATATGTTCACTCAAAAACTTGTACATAAATGTTCATAGCAGCATCATTCATAATAGCCCCAAAGTGGAAACAAGCCAAATACCACCAACTGATAACGGAAAAACAGAATGTGTTACATCCATACTGTATTAGCCTGCTAGGGCTGCCATCATGAAATATTACATTCTGGGTGGCTTAAACAATGGAAATTCATCCTCTCGCAGTTCGGGAGGCTGGAAGTTCAAGATCAAGATTTGGCACGTTTGATTTCTCCTGAAGCACCTCTCCTTGACTTGCAGATGACACTTTCTCACTGTCTCCTCACATGGCTTCTTCTCTGTACGTGGGCACCCTTGGCACCTCTTCCTCTTCTTCTAAGGAGACTGGTTCTATTGGATGACAGTCCCACCCCTTTACGACCTCACTCAGCTCTTTAAAGACCCTGCCTCCAAATATGGTAACATTGGGGGTTAGGACTTCAACAGATGAATCTAGGGGGAGGCACAAGTCAGTTCATAATGACCTTGTTGAGTGTCTGTTACTTTTCGTTGCTGTAAGAAATTCTTTGTGGGAATATGCCATGTTTTATTTATCTGTACTGCTGTGATGGGCGTTCGGCTAGTTTCCAGTTTGAGGGTATGTGAATGGTGCCTTTATGAACAGTCTGTATGTTTTAGGTGAACATTGAACATTCTGTTGGATATATTGGGGCGCCTGGGAGGCACAGTTAAGCGGCCGACTCTTGGTTTCAGTTCACATTGTGATATCAGGGTCATGAGATTGAGCCCTGAGTAGGGCAGAGTCTGTTTGAGATTCTCTTTCCCACCCCCTCCCAGTTCTGTCTTTCTTTGTCTCTCTAAAATAAATCTTTCAAAGAAAACATTTCATTTCAGTTTGATATATATACCTA